ATTGTCTTAAGTGGCAGTGAACCCATGCCCCCTCAATTTCAACATGCTAAGATTAAGCCAGGGCCATACCTTGGAATTTAGGGTTTTGTGAATCGTTCGAAGCCATGTCAGGGCCGCAGGAGAAGCAGCAACAGCAGCCAGGATGTATCCGTTGACGAAGTAATTCACTAAGTAAGCTTCTTTGTCCTGCTGGTGATTATGACGCCGGCGAGTAGAATGGTGGTGGCGATCTTATCATTATGTCACTGTCAGACTAGCTTTCATTAGTCTAAGAGTGCATCACGGTGCCGTGGCAGCGCAGACAAGTTATAGTGGCGGGATTCCTTCTTATATAATGGGCCCCCAAACCCTATTCATTCCAATTATCAAGGCCCCTATATTACACTAAAACACACAGCTGGTGTTCCAGAAAATACCGAACCTGACATCGACCTAGACGAGGAATCCATACATTGGTTTTAAGGACCGAGCAAAATAAGGTCCTTCAGGGTCTAAGGAGCCCAAAACCCTAATCCCCAAGACAAAGCCCACCCCGCCTAAACATGAAAAAGTAAGCTAAATACAGCCTCTGCGGGTGGACGGCGACCAGGCGGCGTCGGATCGATCGCGTGTAAAATTTATCCATCCCCGGGCAGCAGTGGCCGCCATGCATTCAGGGCTTCATGGTTTTGTTTAGTTTCTTAGTGGTTTTGGAAGGGGATGATCATACACCTCCTTGCGTTCAGGCGAGACAAATCTGCTGTAGAGCACACAGTTTTTGGGACGTGTGTCGAGCAGCCACGGTGACTGCTAGAGACAGAGGCGGAAGATAGAAATGGTACAAGGAAGGCTTCTGACAGAGAACATCGCAGGATGCCCTACGAACCCAAAACCTAAACCGACTGTCGCGTCGCGCCGCTGCCTCCCGGCCGAAAAAGCACGCGCCCCCATTCGAGAAGCGATGGTGGATGCTGGCTGGAGCTGTTGTAGTTTGTTTGCGAAGCTCTTGGGCGCAAGCTTGTTCCCCAAAGCCCTACCGGACGGTTTCCTGATTATCCCTAAACCCTAAACCCTAAACGCAGACAGTGCTCGCAGCATCCACCAGGCCAATTCTGGAGTCGGGTTTTCCTTCTCCCTGTGAACTCTATAGGATGTAGGCAGACTTGCTCCGCACAGGTGCACTCTGCGAAGGATCCTAAGCCTTCTGCTTAGTCGTTTCAATCCCATGCTGTAAGCCATCAAACCTAAAAGATTGTGGTGCTTCTTGGCCTAGACCCTACATAAGCCTAAGAAGCCCAAGACCCTGCACTCTGAAACCTGAAAACCCCCCTAAACCCTAAACCCTAAACCCTATAAACCCTAAACCCTAAACCCGTAAAGCCTAAACCCTAAACCCCTCCAGGAGGGGAGATGCCTTATCCCTTTCAGCACCTCGAAGGCCCTAGCAAAGCGGCTCCTTGATCCGGAGGGTAAACCTGCAGGCCTTCAACCCTAACACTACCTATAGTCTCCATTGTAGTTCCTTTTTGGGGTTACCTTATAGGATCCTTAATATATAGTTGGTTTAACAAAAAAGGAACCACAATGCAGGCTATAGGTAGTTTTTGTTGGCCTGAGGGGTGTAGGTTTCCGGATTCACCGCTGGGGTTTAAATCTTTAGTGGCTTAAGGTCCAGGGTTTAGCCGTTGGCTTTGGGGCTTGAGTAAACATACGTATGGAGTCTCGCGAGGTGTTTGCATCATGTCCGGAGTCAGTGTATCATTGTCATAAGTGACAAAACGGGTCTCATTCATTCCCTGCGCCCTAAACCGGTTGGGAAAGATCTTTGGGCGTACAGCTCGTGCGAGATGTCGAGTCTCGAATGAAGTGGTGTGGACGCCGGATCGTGACAGCTTGAACCTTGGCATCGGTGGCTTTAGGTTGCTTAACATGATCTCACACTTTACACTTTGAAGGTTCAGTATGAAAAACCAAACGAACCCTTTTCCCAGCCCGGTCACCTCAGTTTCATGCTGAAGTGCACTGTGAAGGAGTTTACCGAACTGGCACCTGCGGCCAGTAACCGGTGTAAAGCGTTTCCCCACAGATGTGGCCAAGCCATGCGTTGAGGGAGAATGAGCGCATCAACACCAGAAGCATTGAGACCATGTGGAGCAGAAACATGCCAAGACAGAGCAGGGGAGCAGGGGGGGTGAGAGAGACGAATACCCACGCACACATTAACAGACATTCATATGTGTGTATATATATATACATATATTCATAGAAGGAAGAATGGATGCGGATGGATGGATGGATGGATGGACGGATGGGTGAATTGAGGGAGTGAGGGAGGGAGGGAGGCCTGGATATAGGTGTGTGTGTATATATAACGTAATGTACTGTAAGGTAAGGTATACTGGTTTGCTTATTTGTACGTTTTGAGTATTGGTTTTACACCGTCATTTTTGGTGAAAGGCTAAATAAGGCTCCATTGAACCCTACCATCGAGGTTTAGCTCCTTCTCACCTCCTAGCCGGATCCCGTGCCTTGTAACACCCACTTTGGATTCAAGGTTTCAGTTCGGAACATACGACATGCGACTTCAAGGTTGGGGGATACTAGATGTTTTCAGCCCAACTACCAAGCGCAACGCCAAAATTAATTCGGCGCAGTTTTGCCTCTCAAGTTCGGGACATCCGATCTGCAAGGCAGTGCAGGTTTGGGTTTGGGTCTGCAGGTAACCTTACAGTAGGCCCGAAGGCTTTTAACATGGATCACGAGTGTTGTGGTAATGTTGGGACCTGATTAAGAAACCCTGGGCCTATATCCCCAAAAAGAGTAGGATGCATATAAGGAACCCTAATAAAGGCCCAAGGTTTCTGAATCAGCTTCCTACATTAAGACGTTCCAGCCGCAGGATATCCAGCCGTGCACATACCTCTTCTTGAACATCGTCCCGGCGAGGACTTGCGTGCAACGCAGATTTGGGCATTCTACTGTGATACGGCTTTTTGCTGCTAGTATTGGTGTTACAGTAATAAGAGTATGTAACAATCTAATTGCAGGCCCCTTGTACAACTCTTCTAGAAGCGCAGCAGAGCGCTTCAAAGCCATGCCCAAGTTTCAGAAGCCCTGACGTTCCCGCAAGGAAATGGGAGTTTCCGAAAATAGTGGACCCTCATATGGCACCCTAAATAGTAGGATTCTTATTATAAGGAGCCCTAAATAAGGTACCCCTAATTGTCGGAAACTTCCAAATCCGCCCTTGCAGGCTGAGGCCCAGGGCCGGTGGTCAGGTTCCAGGGATCAGGAATAGTGCACGCTGCCTAAATGACAAAACTCGCGCCCCACATCCCAGATCCCGCTGACCCGCGACCTGTACTAGATTCTACACGTATGTGTATTTTGTGTATACAGGTGTATACACACAAGTATGTGTATACACACATATATATATATACGTAAGCATGCATAGCAATTTCATGACATGCTATCCTACCACGTACATTTGAAAGCTTGACCTTCTGGAGCCAGGGAATTCAGCAATCAGGAACCCAACAATGCTAAAGCATTCAAACTTTTAAACCTCAAGCTCTGCACTGTCGACAGGAATTCCGCCTGCGCTTCGGGGTGGCTCCCATTGTGAGCCGGCAGAGTCCGTGTGTCAAATCCAGGTCGGGCTTCGCCATAATTTTTCACGAAAGGTATGTAGCAATGATAGAGTGGGTTCCCTGTGCGCACTGTAAGAAGATGTGGTGCAGACCCCATAAGCCGTAACGCAGAGTCGGCACAGGGAAACTGTCACACCTGGACTTAGGACAGGGATCTTTGCTCTATTCGGGGGCTTCCGAAAATTAGGGGTGGCTTATTTTGGGGTCGTTATAAAAAGGATCCTACCATATAGGTTACTATATTAGGGTCCCCTGTTTTCGGAAATCAATGAAATTTTCTGAAAGCTTTGAGTAGGCCCAGGCTTCAGATTTCCCTGGGCCACCTGCAGCTGCATGGCTGACCTTTGAGCCCTACTATAGAGGCCTAGTCAGTTGCCAATACTATTTTGGGTGTTCCTTCTTATAATTATACTAGTATTTAATATTAATATATTATGCCCCGAACCCTGTTGAAACTATTCAGCCCCTACATTGCACCTCGAATCCGAAACGGGCCCAATCTTGCCATAGTTCCTAGAAAAGCTGCGAAAGGTATGCTTCGCTAAGCGGCGTTGTGGACCGAGGTCAACAAGTGCACGGTGCAGTTTTTGTGGTTGTAGGTTGAATTCGGCAAGGACTGCTGCACGGAAGTGCTGTGCGAAATGGTAGGCTTCCCTGCTTTGCCTGCCACATCCTGCCACTGTGAAGAAGAAGTCACAATTCCTTGGTAACTCTAGGTGGGGGTTTTGATGTAGTGTAGGGGTCTGAACCATTAGGAGAAGTATCCCATTGTGATCGCTATATAGGTTCTAAACTAATGCATTATGCTGAGGCCCCCCATCAGGACTTTTCTAGGCACTCTTATACAGAGCTCCCCGACGCAGGCTTTTCCAACAAAGGCTGACAAAGGCTCTGATTAGAACTAAGCAGAGCCGGGCGTTAAACAGTAAGCCATCTAAACCTAATCCACTTATGCCTGATTTTCGAAACACCTGCACCAATCCCTAATGCCCACAATTCCTGAATCTGTGAGCCCAAATCTCCATTGGGTTAAGTAAACAGTGTGCGCGGGTCATACTCTCTACGACCTAGCCGAGTAGGCTTGTGGGCTCGCTCCGAAAAAGCCTTCTAGCTGCCCTTTCAAGTCAGACTTCCAAAATCTGGCATCAGAGTGCGTGAGACTCTACATATGCATGTGCAGATTGAAAATCGAACGCTGACATGTATGGTCCTGCACTCACCAAGATCCACAGCCCTGAACACTTCGAAACCCTGGAGTTACCATATAACTTTCTTCTGATTTTCAACTATGGATGGTAACTTAAAGTTCCTCAGCAAGAGCCCACACTATCTACCTTCAACTCTTGGCCTGCCTACGCAGTGCTGCAGGGAGTCGCAGCTGCATCCTGACGCTGGCGAGTCGGGGACTGTCGGACTTTGTGTTGGCATGTGGGTGGTTGTCAATATTAGGGTACCTTTTTGGGTCCCTATTATAATACGACACTTGTTATTTAGGGTAGCCAAACAGGGACTATAGTTTTGACAACCACTCCGAAAGCAAGCATGTATGAATTTCGTTCGGTGGTCTTTGTACATTCACGCACTTCAGTTATATGTTTATAACGATATATATATATATATATCTCTGTGTGTGTAAATATTTGGAAAGAGGCACGATTTCTTTCCGTGTTTTATGCTAAACCTTACACATGCATTTCTGTTTGTTTGTCTCCCTCCCTGTCGCTCTACACGTGTGCCGTTTGTCAAGGTCGGTCCATGAGGCCTTGGACGGAACAGTTTCGGGCTTCTCAGGGTTTCAGAACCCTTACTATTGTACCCTTACGTGTAGCCTAAAAGACCTACGCTTTTAGGAAACTATGTATAGAAACCATAATAAGGAACCCCGGGAAGGCAGGTCTTTTCGGCTACAGGTATAGCACCCCTTGTAGCAGCCCTTCACCTTGACTTTGTCCCCTGGCGAAAGGGAACTCGGCTTCGATGCTCTTGAGTTGAAGTAACATAGGGGACCTATTTTGAATAGGGTTCTGGGACTCACTTCACTGTAACTAAACTATGGACCCCCCCAAAAAATACTATAGGTAATTATGGCAAGGCCCCCAAAAGTACCCAAAGGCGGTGAAGTAGAAAGAAACCTCTGGAGCCCAAGATATCCTGAATACAGAATGCAGCTTAAAATCAAAGAACCCATAGAGGAATTGCTGGTGCCCTTAAAGTCTAGAGGGATCCTTCATGCAGTTTTTACGGTTATTGAGGACTTGGAGACCTTGGCTTAGATCCTCAGAAGTCGATCCGAACTAGCAGGTTTTGGGCTTTCTGGAAGCTTAAAGCCAAGTGACTTCGCCCAGGCTGGCTGTTCAGGAAGTTCTTGCGGCACAGGCTGGGCTTGCCTGGCTGAATACCCTAAACCCTAAACCCTAAACCCCTAAACCCTAAACACGGTTTTCTTAGAGCCCTGTAGGGTCGACACGGTTGAGGGGTGTTTTAGGTTTTTTATGGTCAGGTGTTTGAGGGTTCAAAACTTGGGGTTTGAGGACTGTTAGTATTGGTGGGTTCAGGGTTTCGGGTTTGCAGGCGGAGGGGGGGTCAGTATCCCTGTGCCACGACCTCCCGGTTATGTTTTGTGTATATGGGAGTTTCCGGGAATAGGGGACCCTAATATAGTACCTTAAATAGTAGGATCCTTATTATATGGACCCCAAAATAAGGTAACTCCCAGTTTTCGGAAACTCCCATATGGGATATTGGCTGATGCCCTATGGAGTTACACAAGCACTGGCCTGGTCGTTTGTGTCGTGTGCGGTAGGTGCTTTTTGCGCATCACAACTTCAGACATATTTAAGACCCCCCCCCCCGATACCCTAAGTGTAAGAGTACATGAAGTCATTTTTGGAAGATGAGCTGCCTTCTTGGTGTTTCAGGCTCGCGTCCTGAAGGTAACGATTGGCCTGGAGGTCCAACATTTGTATATTCGGTCTCCCGGTGGGCACTTTTCCCTTTCTTTTGTTGTGAGGTTAAGTTCCGTACAAAACTACCCAGCGCCCAAAATAGAGACCTTTCTGTTCCTCGGTTCAGCCGCTTGAGTGTCCTCCATGGCCCGTTGTCGCACTTGGAGAATCAGGTGGCTATAGTTATATTTTCTACGTATAACCTTACTTAAGATACTTATAACCCTACTTCCTAAGTCTTATGAGCCTCTAAGTATATAGACCCTAAATCCTAAACCCTAATAGTACGCCTGTAGATCCCTTAAAAGGAACCCTTATAACCCTATACTTACTAAGTCTCATGATCCTCTGAGCTGTCCCTGAACCCTGAGCTCCGTCTTGTTTGGGGCAGCCTGCTGGGCCCAAAGCCTCTGCTCTCTGAGGCTACATGTCACCATGCCCGGCCAGTTTGATATGGGCTTGGATGTAATTCTTAGGTTTACTTTTTGAGATTTTTCATGTTGAAGAGAATTAATATGAGCATGAAATATTATTGTAGAATCTGTTTGTTGCAGTTCGACAAATAGACTTAAAGCTGATGTCGCAGGTAAGTATGAAGGCCATGAAGACGGACGGAGGCTTTGTTCTACCATCTGTCGACTGTGTGCAGCTCGTATCATGACATCTTACAACAGTGATGGTTAGCACCGCACGAGAACATAAAGCAAGCAAGCCAAGACACAAACAACCGATCGAAGGAGCAACTAAACAAACGAACAGCAACAAACACAAACACACACACACACACACACACACACACACAGAGAGACACAATTGTGCAGCCTAGACTGTCATCACACGCATGAAGCAGCTGCATAACTAAGCTTAGTGCCTGCTGTGTGGTCACAGTCTGCCAGCGGGTATGTCAGATGTCGAGGCGCGTGCGTTTATCGCATCAGTGCAGCTTCATATGGGAGGTATTGAGCTTTGGCAGTCCCTCTTGGGGTCTTTACTTTGCAGAGCTTTGGTTCGATGTGTGGCTCCATTGCTCCAGTATTTGCGCTCCCGTGGGTGCTCTGCTCATGCGAATGAGGCTTAAGGGCTTTGGGTCTTCGAACCCTTCTTAAACCCCTATAGAACCCGTCTGGAATGCATCCAGCACCTGTTTTTAACAGACGAAGCAACAAACTTACCCTCCCACCCCAGGCTTATATAGAGATGCCAGTGATGCCAGGGTCAGCAATCATATAAGTAGTAGCAATAGTAGTCGTCGTAGTAGGAATAATAATAGTAGTAGCAGTAGCAGTAGTTGGTTTTAGCCCTGAGCTGCTCACTCCGAGAGACCCGCGAAGCCTGGTCCTAAACCCTGAAACCAGAAGAAACCCTCACAGCGTTAAGGGATTCAGGGAGTCGAAGAGCAGAAGCATGCAGAGTTTGCAGTCCTGAGACCCTGCAGCGCAGACCCTGCAACAGACCCATACACTTGCCACACGCCTTCACACAAGGGGAAGAGTTTTCACTGCATTCTTGAGGAGCCTAAATACGGGACACTTAACTATGCGGCGGCTCTTGGGTACTTCTTCAAGTTTGCTTTTCGCTTTGTGCTGTCTTTTCTGGGGTTCCCTTTCTTGCTGCTGGGCGTGAAGGGGAGCAGAGGAAGTTGGGACTTTCTGGGTACCCCCTGCTCAGCCTTATATCTTTAGGGAGCCTTTAATTCAACAACGTACTCCTTGCAGTAGCCTTAAACCAACCCTAGACCTCAAAATCCGTTCCCATAGTGGCATTCTGACCCCGAACAAGGCGGAAGGACAAGAGGCGTAACAAAAAGAACGCACCCTGCTTCAACCCTGACCTCAGCCGCCACTGCTGGAACCAGCCACTCCGGAGCCGCTGAGTTCCGATCTTTCTGCCGCTGGGCTTCGATCAGCTTTACCAAGAGCCAGAATAGGAGCGTAGATCATAGCGGTAGAGCATGGGCTCAGTCAGTCGAGTGTGCCGTTTTCACTTCCGTCTTCTGCGACACTCCCTACTTGGAGGATCGTGGGACTTAGTAAGTAGGGTTCTAAGTAAGGTAACTACAGATATATCTGCTTGCAACCCTAACTAGGGTACTTATAACCCTACTAAGTCCCATGATCCTCTAAGTATCCTTTCAGTCATCCGCCGGTACCGCCGGTCCAAACCACTGAATGCAACTCGGATTGCCAGGCTCTGCAAACAAGAGGATCGAGACCTTGGTGGTATCAACCCAGTCTTTGCCCAAACAGCTTTAAACAAAAAGCTAGCACGCCCCATGGCCCATAACCAGAAGGCTTGTGGCCATGATGTGGATTCTGACGGTGGTCATCGTAGCGAGAGAGGGAGAGAGAAAGAGAGAGCGGAGACTTCGTATTGTTGGGACAGGAGAAGATATTTCACATGTAGTCGCGTAGTAGTCTTTGTCTAGGCTTGCCTATGACAATCGGAACTCCGCCCGGGTTTGCAATCTCATTGTTTCGCCATCTGTCACCTGACATATCACAGGTGTGAAAGTGTAGGGCAGTGTTCGCTTCGTTCGTTGATCCCACAGTTCCTCTCACACGAAGCCCGGAATGCCCCAGTCGGAAGCATTTACAAGACGTGTGCTGATTCAACCCCACAGCCTTATGACATCAGCTGGCCTCAGCGCACGCCCGCGGGACAGTCATAAACTCATCGGTAGCTGTGATTCCCCCTAAGCCGGAAGCCTCAGATCCTGAACCTAGACCTGGTTCGCCTGAGAATTACCGTTGAAACCCTAGGCCTTCATCCCTAAATAGATCCTAAGCCTGCACTCTTCAGGACTGGTTCGGAAAGCAGGGCAGTGGCGGGCTCAACTGACGGCTCTTAAGGGCTTTTCATCTTGAGGGCTTTAGGGAATTCGGTGATGTTATGTTTAGGGCTTGGGTTGTTTTCGCAAGTAGGCCTGTTGGTTTCTGCGAAAGGATGCTCAAAGGTTTATTATGTGACCAGATCAAGACTCCGGAACTGGGGCGAGCTTGTCATAGCTGGCAGTCCGACGAGGGTGGCGTCCGTTATGCTGCCGTTAATGCTGCCCGTGTCAGAGCATGGCTTCCGCAGGGCAAGCGCTGCATACACCGACGTAACTTTAGTCCTGTGCATATACAGAGACGGGTGATGTCTGATGCGCACACAGACGACAGCCTTGTTTTTCACTTGAGACACATGGGTGCGTTCAGGCATGATGTCCAGACTGCTATGCAAGATGTGCTCAAGCGCATCCAAAACAGAACTTTTTGTCGAGATCGCGTCCTTGCTAAACTGCCATAAACATCTTCACAACGATGACGGCTCTTAAAAGTAGGAGAAATGGAACCCAAGGCAAAGAGGAGGAAGTCCCGAGCACTGCTTTCTTGCACCAGTCGGTGGCTTGGCACCAGAAGTGTCTGTCAGGAGAAGTGTACAGAGTTTCATGTTTATGGCTTAGTTTACGATGATTGCGGGTCGTAGGCTGGCTTGACTTGAGTCCAGTAGCAAAAAAGGGTTTTTGGTTTACGGAGGTTGTCAGCGAATGTCTATCTCATACCAAACAGCTTTTTTGTCGGCGGTCCTTAACTACAGGGTCCGAGTCCGAGTGCTGAAGGGTGAAGATCCCACTGAGATAACAGGTGTGAGAATGCACCAGGCCGAGACGTCAACGTAATAAGTCCTAAGTAGCTGAGTAGGTAACCTTTAACGTTTTGAGTTTCATTACATTCTTGCCAAGGTTGAAAAAGTTAACCGGTTAGCCTTTTCCGGGCGATGGTACTCAGCCCCTAAGAGTCTGATTTTTGGGTGTTTGGTTCCGAGAGTTTCTATTGGTAAAGGACGATTATTGTACCGTTCGTGGGGCGTGGGCGGAATGGGGCCCCTGGTTGTCTTCATGTTTGCTCGCAGGGCTGTCACAGCTCTGGGTGCCTTCAAAGCCTGGTTGAGCTTGAGGGTTTCGGGTTGAGGGATAGCGATCGCAATTCTGTTTCCCCCTCCATTCCCCGAACTCTGTAGGCGGTGGGACATCAGCGTAAGCAAACCTTTCTGGTAACAGGCGCTATATGTGTGTATATATGTATGTATGTATATGCCCTTCAACACTCGATCGCAACTCTACATAAACCTTCATGATACCCATCACAATAAACCCTAAACCCCAAACCCCAGAGAGCCCAATACCCCTTAATTAAGGATTATGGCTTAAATTATATAGGGCTTCATATTGTGATTTAAGCTATATTCCTTAATTAAGGGATATTGGAGTCTCTGGGAACCTGACCCCAAACCCACCACAAAAAGCGCCAGCAAGCTGAGGATCGGGAGTTGTCCTCCGAGCTTGAGCCGGAGGACCTGCAAAGCGAGTGTGGCAGCATCTTGCCCGGAAGGTTTCTGCAGTGATTTAGGGGGTTTAGGGGTTAGTGTTTAGGGTTTAGGGTTTAGGGC